GATGAATGAAACTGAATGCCTTTAAGAGGACACTGTGCTTCTGTGTCCATGTACCATTGCAGGGTCTATAGCTTACAGTTAGCAACGGAGCAGCGATGCTCTGGAAAGGGCTGCATGGGGAGGCAGAGCTTCCTCTGAGACCCAGCTCCTGCCTCCCTTCCTGTCTTACCCACAATCTACTTGAGGGACTTCAGATCAGTCATTCTGCCTTGCTTTCCAAGTATGTCAGGTGGGGTTAATAACACTCTTCCTACAGATCTCACAGGCTGTTTCTATGTTTTGTTGATTTAGAGGGGTCCCATCTGAAGGCAGGAGGAAGTAAAAGATAAAGTTTCCAGGCTCTTTCCAGCCCTAGGGTTTTAGGAAAAAATTTAATCATGTTTTACACCGCCAGATGTAAGCACATATTGTAACTGTGAGGGCAACATGAAATAGAGGACAATTATGTTCTTTTACTGAGATTACAGCAAGAAACACTCGGCTTAAACTTTGACGAGAAGGATGGGAGTCAGACAAAAATCCCTTTGTGATGTCAGGGGATCCGTTTCATGGGAATGGGGCCTGAGACTGATTTCTCAGAGGAGAGTTTGGGAGCTAGGGGGACTGGGGAGTGCAGAGGGCAGGAATTAAGGGTGATGAAACATTTTGACATATGGAAAACTTTCCAGAAGTGAAGGCTGTAAAACCTTGAAATGGGTGACTCAGGAATGCGAGACGGTCTTGGAATCGACAAAACAGAGGCCAGATTCCTAACGTTCATCTATTGACTTGGAGGTCTTTCTGCCTGGTAGAGGGAGGAGAGGCCTCGTATCTATCCAATGTGGTTGGAGCTTGGGTCTTGGAGTCAGACAGATCCAGGTCAAGTTGCTCCGTTGTCATTTACCAGTTGTTGACCCTGTGCAAGTTACTTAACTACCCCAGGGTTTCTGGTTGTAACAGTGATCCTGGTACCTCCCTCCTCAGGTTGAGCATGAGGATTAGATGAGCCCAGGTCTGTAAAACACTTAGCACAGTGCTTGGCGCACAATAAGCTTTTTAAAACATATGTTCTGACATAGATGTGAAACCCTGTCATCCTTGTTTGTGCAATGTGGACAGTTTGGAAAAGCTCCAGGTTGGGGCAGGAGAGTTCCTGTGCTGTTAAATGACAAACCCTTTCTGTGTTTCCAAATGAAGGCAAAGCAAAACTTGATATTTTTGATGAAAAACTTTCAGTCAAGGCAAGGCTTGGTGGAGCACCAGAAGGACCTTGTTTTCTGTGACTGTGGGTCTTGGGCTGGGTGTTGGAATGCCCCTGCCCCCCCTGACTTCCTTCTGCTACTTTGGTGACTGCCCGCAGACGGGCCAGCTCCCAGTCATCTGAAACACCACTCAGAATGCAGCAATTTGCAATCCGTTCCAAGCTGGAAGTGAGTTTTCATGTGATGGGGCCGCACCGCTCCGTGACTCTGTAACTAATTCTCCCGGTCCTGGCAGCTCTCCAAATTCTTGGGATGTGATCAATTGACCAAACGATGTCAGGTCAGATTCAAGAGAAGGCTGGATCTGGGATCTGGTGTGAGAGCTCCCAGCATGGGAAACACTCAAGCCTCAAGTTTCTTTATGTTTTTCTCTGCTCTTTTCAGGCAGCTCTTTTTAGACAAGGGATATACAACCCTCAAAGTTGAGAGAAATTAAGTTTAGGTAAAAAAAAAACCCCCGAAGCTGTAACTTGATGACTAAAGAAGTCACCGTAAGTGGCCAATGTTCATTTTTACTGAACCAAAATAATGGAAATGAACTGAATTGCCTTCAACACATTTTTGTGAGCGGCTTTGGCCCTTCATCACTCTGAAGGGACTTTATAGAAGAAATGTTGCCCTGCAAATCCCAACACTAGCTCTAGCACCAACGGGGCTCCAAACTCACCGTGAAACTTTGAGCAAACCCCCAACATCTTGAGAAGTCAGTTTCCCTATTTCTAAAATTAGTCGGCTTCAGAGTTTCCTTCCCTATTTAAAATTCTTTGATGTCCTATCAAGTTTAGATAAATTCACTGTTGATAGAGCCATAAAAGAATTTGTAAAGATCTCTTATGTTTGTGTAGTGCTTCATTGTTTCCTTTGTTGTTTAGAACTCTCTGAGGTTGGCTAGTTGGGTTGTGTTACCCCAGCGTGTAGATAGGAAACTGAGGCTCCCACAAATGGAGGATCATGGCCGTGACTTTTTGGCTGGTGAATGGAGGAGGTGAGAATAAAACCCAGATCTTCTGATATCTAGTCCAGAAGTTCTTTCCAATCTTGATACGTAAGACTGTTGACAGAGCAAGAAGCCATAGCCAACCACAGCTGGTCTCGGTCAGAGGCAAAGTCCCATTCGGCTTGTTTTTCTGAATAATGGTCATTGGCCACCTTGGGTGCCTCTTTTAGGTTCTCATTTGGAGTTCAGTTTATAATAAAGTGCGCTCCGTGTTAAAAATGCGGATTTCCAAGGTGAGTCTTATAGCCACGCATGCAAAGGCAACACAGGTACAGTAGGAGTTTAGGTAAGGAAACCAGGCAGATGGGCATCTCTGCTCCACCATTAACTCGTTCCTCATCCACCTTCGTTTTTACATCTTTAAAATGGGTGATACAATATCTAATGTTTAGGATACTCAATACCTAAGTTCCCTTGCTCTTTTCATCTTCATTTGTAAATGGACTATTTGGTGTTCATTACAAATGATGTCATACAGGAACATTGAATGCCAGAAAGATGATTGTCATATATTGCTATGGGAAACAAATGATACAAAGTAGCATGTTTTGAATGAACTCATTTTTGTATAAAAATGCAAAATAAGGTATACAATGAAGAGAGAAGAATTATCATGCTTGGGTTAATAATGGATTTTCTATGTGTGGTGGGACCATAAATGTTTTTCACTTCTTCTTGCATTTCTACTTTTCCTTAAATATACAAATCGACCATATGCTAATGCAGTTATTAGTTTTTAAACATTTGTTTTTTTTAAGGTGTACAGGTGATGATTCTATTTGATTGGGAAAAAAACTGGATAACCAGTTTACTTCCAGGTGGTTGTTGAATAAGACTGATTCCCAAATATTTTCAAAACAGACACAAATTGTGTCATCCCCAGTAATTGCTAATTAACCCTCTTTTTGTTCAATTAAGACAGCCGCTCTCAGCTGCCCGTGGGTCAGTAGGATTGAGAATGCTGCTGCCAAGCGCAGTTGGGCCTGGGCTTCACATCTGCTGCTTCCCTTTGCCAAACAGCTGTGTTCTGAGCAAGCAGCGTGATGACACTCACCTGCAGGAAATGTGGCTCGTGGAGCTGGTCTGCAGGCTGAGGGACAAAGAGCTGACGGTTCCACTCCAGCAGGTGGGGCAGCCAATCGGGAAAGGGCTAGAGCAATGCAAAAAGAATGTCTGTTGCTCTTAGTAATGAGTGAGGGTGCCCCAGCTGTTGGATAAGACCCTGGGCAGGATACTGTTGCAATTTGGCAGAGAACACACAGTCCTTGGGCTCAGGACTTGCAACACAGAGGATCCTGAAGGGAGTTTTCCCCCAAGTTCTGCAGTGGGGCTGGAGAGAGACAGAACAGCAGAGAGAGAAAATGGCGCACACACATGTTAAGGCACCAACTGAACACACATATTTGCTGCTCAAAGGTTTATTTTTGTCACATTTCTTTCAGTCTTGTCAGAAGCAGAGAGGGGTACCTTTCTCTGCGCTCAGTAAGTAATGGCTCTCCAAATTAGAATACAAGGTAACCTTATTTCATGCACGTGTACATTTTTATTTTAATTTTTGTATTTAAGTGTATTCTTTTATTCTTGAGTTTTGTTTTGTGGCAAGTGATATTCTTTTTCCATTTGTGAAAGCAAGTGTTCTTTAAAATCTACATTGATTTAAGCAAAAAAGGGGTCACTTCTAAGGTTATTAATAATATTGTTAGAATGTGGAATTGGCAAGAATCTTTAAAGTTGTGAGGCAAACAACTGAAATGTGGGCAGCAATATTCTTCACCAGCCTGAGAGTTGAAAGACCTGGGGCTCTGCTGTCTAATCTACTAATTGATGAATATAAGCCAGTGGCTCCCGAACCCGTCAGCACATTGGGATCACGTAGTGGGGGAAGGGCTTCAAAACTACTGCTGCCTGATTCCCATCCCAGAGATTTGGATTTGATTGGTCAGGGGAGTGGCCTGGGTTTTGCAGGTAGTGAAATATCCCCAGGTGATCCTAATGTCAGGCACGTTGGGAACCACTGTCACAAGCACATTCCTTGGTGTCCCCGAGCCTTCATTTGCTTATCTATAATATGGGCATGTTGAGTGTCTACTAAATAGGATCTGCCGTGTCCTCCATGTTGTTAAAAAAATAAGCAAATATCTTCACTCGAATGGTTCAACGCTTTCTCCCTGAAAGCGATTCCTGGATAGTGTGAGACACGGGTTCTAGAAGGAAAAGAAAATATCAATGCAGGTCTAGTCTGGGGCTGCTGGTGCAAAAGGAAGGAGGTGGAACAGAACATGGAGAGGAAAGAGATGCCTCGCAGAATCTCTTCTCCAAGCCAGCTTCACTGATAGTGGGGCAGAGCTAAGGTCTGGATCCAGGCGATACGGGGAGCCATGGCCTAGAGGTGTGACCGCAGGCATTCCCCTTTACTTTTTGGGTCTCAGCTTCCGCATTTGGAAGAAGAGGAGGTGAATTAATTGGTCAATAAGGTCCCTTCCATTATGCCTGGGAAGATCTACAGGGGCTTCCACCCTCCCACCTATGTAGTTTCTTGGCTTTTTGCCAATGAAATCCCCCAAGGGTCGGTAGATGGCAGTAGAGACTTTCGAATCAGGACTTTTGGGTTGCTTGGCCCACCTGATTTCATCCTCCCACCCTGACAATGCTGGGAATGCTGCCCTGGAAGTGTTTTCTGCTGCTGACCTCAACAGCTGCTGTCTGAATTTACTCATTTGTGAGTCACAAAGGGGAAAAATTTAAAGGAACAGCATTTCTTTGGCGTCTACAGCCCACCTAGGGCTCTGCCCATAGGACCATGCTGGGGCTCAGAGCCCCGTTATATCTCTCCTCTCTCGCTGGGGTAAGACCTTGCTGTGTCTGACATTAGGCACATGTTCCTGCAATGGTGAATAAGTCAGGGAACCTGGGCATGCATAATAGGACTTTTGGGGTAAGAGAGAAATCTGGATCATTTTTAAGGCAAAAAGAGAGAAATCTGGGCCATTTTTAAGGCAAAACCAATTTCTGGGAGGGACTTAAATTTGTACGTTATTTTATAGTTTTAAAGGGCATCCATATACCTGACCTCATTTCATCTTTGAAACAGCCCTTTAATGTTGGTGGAAACAAAATTTTCAGCTTCATTTGTTGGATGAGGGAGCTGAATCTCAGGGTAGATGGGAAAGTGATTTGGTCAAAGTCACCCTGCTCTAAGGTGGTGATCAGAACTCGAACTCAAGTCATGTGACCCCTTAGTCCAGGCCTCTTTTTGTTGATTAAAGCATATGGGCCGACATGTGCCACACTGGATTCCTGTAGGTACTTGTCAGGTTATACATTTGATAAATCTTCATCATGTACTGACTGTGTGTCAGGCACTTAACCGTGTTCTGGTAATGCAGAGATGAAAAATAAATAATTGCCTGTACATATTCCTTTCTATGTTCCAGGAACTGTTCTCTTTACTTTAAAAATAATCATCAATTTAATTCCTCACAACCATCCTTTGAGGTTGGTATTGCTTTAACCCAATTTAGAGGTGAAGAAACTGAGGCACAGAGAAATTATGTAACTTGCTCCAGATCCCTCAGTAAGTAGTGAAGCTGGGAATCAAAGGCAGGCAGTAGTGTTCTTGCCTTTTTTCTTTTTAAAAACAGCTTTATCAAGATACAATTCACAGACTCTACAATTCGTCCATTTAAGGTATACAATTCAATGGTTTTTAGTATATTTGACAGAGATATGCAAACATCACCATAGTCAATTTAGAACATTTTTCCTCACCCCAGTAAGAAACCTCATACTCATGGGCAGCTGGCAGCAGAGTTCTTTTTTTTTTAATTTTAATTTATTTTTTTTTAAGGAAGATGAGCCCTGAGCTAACATCTGCTGCCAATCTTCCTCTTTTTGCTGAGGAAGACTGGCCCTGAGCTAACATCTGTGCCCATCTTCCTCTACTTTATATGTGGGATGCCTGCCACAGCATGGCTTGCCAAACGGTGCCATGTCTGCACCTCAGATCCAAACAGGCGAACCCCGGGCCGCCGAAGCAGAATATGCGAACTTAACTGCTGCGCCACTGGGCCGGCCCCTGGCAGCAGTGTTCTTAACTGCTATACTATATTCTCTCTCCATGGATGAAGTCTGAAGATGCCTCCCACATTCCAAGGGTTCTGCCAGCACTGGACAGATTGTTATATTACGATGCCATAAACATGATGATAGTCCAGGCCCAAAGAAAAAATAGGGTACAGTGTAAGGAAGATCTTCAAAGCAAGGACTTTCACTCGAGAGTGAGAGGGTGGTTTTCTCTACAGGGCCTGAGTTTTCTGTTTATAACAGAGCTGTGGATTAATGGCTCAAATACTCCTGGAAATTAAAATAATATTCATGGACGGGATACTCAGAACTTGTATGCCAGGGGTGTGTTACTGTGATGTTATCAGATTAGCCAAAGACCCCTTTCAGTCCTTGGGGGAAGGTGCTGGGCAGGCAAGAGGATGGGGCACAGTCTTGGGTAAACAGAGGCAGGGGAAGGCCCCGAGAGCTTGGTATTTGGGCTGTCATGAGGAAACTTGTTCGGCTTCTCTGTTTTTCCCAGGGTCGATCTGGTATGATAAACTTTTCCAGTGGTGAAGTTGATCTAGGATACGCTTTATCTTAGAAGTTACAGAAACTTGTAAGGAGCAGCCAGAGGACCGAGGAGCCCACAGCTGGGTTTTCACTTCCTCCTTGTGTACTGCTGCCTCAGCTTCTCAAAGTTTATGGTGTTTATGAAGATCTGTAACAGCTGGCGCCAAACCCAGCTCCTAGGAGAATCGCTTCTGGGAGGATGCTGAAGACCGCATTTCAGCTTCAGGAATGGGGAGAAAGTAGAGTTGAAAATCTCATTTTCATAACATCATCATCATCATCATCACAGCTGCCGTTAATTGAATGCCTTCCAAGCGCCAGATGGTATGTTAGGGATTTTTCGCTTCTTTCGTTTAAATCTCATGATAAACTTGCCAGGCTCCCATTCTTACACCCACTTTAGTGGGGAGGAGGAGCAGAAGAGGGGAAGTCGTTTGCCCGAGGTTCACAAGGCTAGAAAGCACCAGGGCTGGAATTCTAACCCAGGCGCCCAATTCAACTCGGTTTGCCCAGGACTTTCCTGGTTTTAAGACTGAAAGCCCCATGGCCCAGCAGCCACCTCAGTCCTGGGCTAGCTGGGACAGTTGGTCAGCCTAATATCCAGGTCTGTTGCATTCTGTCTGCTGTGCCTGTCACCTAGGTGCTGAGAAGTTTCCTTGGCCTCCCTCTTGACAGCAGTACCAGCTTTGGGCTTCCCCTTGAAACCCTCTTTGGGATGTACCATGCTCCTCCCTATCTGTCTGTCAGTGCCTGCTCCCTGGCGCTGCTGGGAGCCTTGTCTCCTCGCAGCTCTTTCGTGGCCCATCAGTTGCCTACTGCTCTCGTTTTGAGTCAGGCCCTTTACCATTGATCCGTTTGGAGCTTCCCCCAAGCACACAACCCACCTCTGGCTACAAACCATCTGAAGATGGGCTTGAGTTCCAGCTGAACCACCTCTGGCGATGCCCCGGAGAAACCACTTCACCGCCCTGGAGCCTTTGGTTCCTCATCCAAGCCGGGATGACAACAGTACTCACCTCCCGCTGCTGTCATAGAGTTGAACTTATGTGCAAGATATGAAAATTGATTTTAAACATGAAAGGCATGCATGTGTTGGTTGTCATTGCTGTTGGCCACTTCCTACTTTCCCTGCCTACCTCAGAAAGGACAAACGACTTCAGTGGCAGTGTAGACCCTGACCTAGCATGGGAGGTTTTGGTACCTGCTGGTCTGGTTACCCATAGCTTGTGTGTGTTGGGTTTCTTCTCTGCATTTTGTGGATTTAAAAACAGGGTTTTATGAGTGCCTGAGAATGAGTTTGTGAAATGCCTGGTCTTGTGTCTGGCTTGGTTTCAAGGTGGAAAAGGGGGTTGGAACCATGTGTCTTGAATTCAACCGTCTAGACCCAGCACTTGGTACACTGGCTCACAGTGTTGTCAATAAGTATTTGTGGCATGAATGCATCAATGAATGAATGTGAGACAATACAGGCCAAATAAATGATGGGGAGAACATTAGAATGGGAGAAAAAATTGCTTTGCAAGGTTAAAAATATTCAATGCAAACAAGCTGATTTCTCATAAACCACCTTAAATCTTTCCCAGAACAAGGGAGCTCGTGAAGAAATACATTAAATAAGTAGTGTGATAACTACACTACTAATTTACACTGGTTACTTTATCTTTTCATCTCTGCTCTAATTCTTTTCGTTTTTTACCATTTCCTTGCTGTAGATACTCTTACCCTAAGCACATTCTGGCTGTTCACCTCTTGTTGTTGACTGAGCTCAAATATGAGCCATTTTTGTTGTATTTACTTTAGAAGCATTTAAGTAGGTTATTCGCCGCCGCCCCCCCCCCCCCCCCCCCCCCCCCCGGGCCCCTTGCCAAACCAGCGCAGAACTCGCGGCCATTTTCAATCATTTCTGTTATTTCATCTCATCTCTCTGGTTACTCCTTCTCAGTCTCTTTTGCTGGTTTCTTTTTTCTGCCCAGACCCCTAGCCCAGAGGTCCAGGGCTCCATACTTGAGACCTTTTTTTTCCATTTACACTCCTTCCTTGGTGATCTTATTCAGCCTTTTGGCTTCAATTATTATTTATATCCCATGACTCTCAAATTTGTATCTCTGGTCTAAACCTCTCTCCTGAACTTGTAAATTCAGCTGCCTATAGGGGATTCTCACTTGTACTTTTAATAGACGCCTAAACTCAACATGTCCCAAACTGGACTCCTGATCTACACCTCACCCACCCCTCCCAACTTGCTTCTCCTGTGGTCTTCCTCCTCTCAGCTGAGGGCAGCTCCATCCTCCAGCTGTTCAGGCCCAAGCCTTTGGTGACATCCTTAACTCCTCTTTGTCTCTCATCCCCACTTCAGATCTGCCAGAAACTCTTTAGTTCAACTTTGAAATACCTTATTTACTTGATACTGAGATACAGATTATGTATCTCCAAATTAGGAACGTGTCCCACAAACTGGCATCTTAAATCCAATGAGATATGGTATATTAAGGATTTGGTCATTTCTCAACCCTCCACCATTAACACTCAGGTCACAATTGGAACCTTTCTCACCTGGATGACTATCATAGCTTCTGGAGTGGTCTCCCTGCCTCTCCCTTGACAATCCTTTGTTTATTCTCAAATCACAGCTAGGGTGACTCTCTTAAAGCATAAATTAGGTCAAAACCTGCCAATGACTTCCCATGTCACACAGAGAAAAAGCCGGTACCCCAATAATGTCCTACAAGGCTGTACGTGACCCGATCTCTCTGATCTCATTCCTGTTCTATTTACTCCTTACACATGCCTCCCCAGCCACCCTAGCTTCCTTGCTGTTCTTCAAGAAAGCCAGACATGTTTCTACCTTTGGGCTTTTGCCGTGGCTGTTCCCACTCCTTAGAGCATTCTCTCCTCAGTTATCTGTTTGGTTGACCCCCATATCTCTTTTTAAGTTTTGCTCAAACATCATCTTATCAATGAGGCTTACTTTGACTCTCCAATTAAAATTGAAACTGACCCCTAACCCTAGTACTTATCTCCCCTTCTCTGCTCTTTTTTCCCACAGCACTTATGACCTCCTAGCATGCTTTACAATTGACTTATAAATACCAATCTTCCATTACAAGAATGTAAGCTTCACCAGGGCAAGAATTACTTTGTTGGTTTTGCTTGCTGATGAATCCCAAGCACCTAAAAGAGGTCCTCATGAATATTTGTTGAATGAGTGAATGAATTTCAAATTCAACAAAAGCAGCAGGAATCAGAGAATCAAAGTCGAGCTCGCAGCCTTGTCAGAAACACTGGGGTGATTTCAGTGACTACAATGAATGTTTTCCCTTCCACCCTTTCAAAATAAGACTCCCAAAGCTGAAGCTATTATTGAAAGCAGCGAGGGAGAAAGGGGTGGGAAAGATGGCTCATGAAAAACAGTGAAGTCAGCGACTTTAGTGAGCTTAGGTAAGTCAGAAGCTGGGCGGCCATGTGTGACTTTCATTAATCATCCTCTTCACACCACATCAACACAAGTGACCACTTTTGTCTGCACCTCCTGCCTCTGGTGCCATGATATATGGCCTGAGAAGAGTCCTGGGCACTAATAGTTGAAGAACCCAAAAAGATGAATGCTCACGTCCTGGCCCATGAAGGAAGAGTTAATCACAATGAGGGGTGTTGGGCCATGCAAACCTGCATTGGTTTTGGGCTTCCAAGCCTGGCCTGGCTGTTCTCCCCACACAAACGCCTGTTATCCTGGAAGAAGAAATGCACTTATGCATAGCTTTGTGACCACTTGGTTGCATGACTGTCTGGGATGTCAAATGGAGAGGAGGACAGATGAGGGCACAGTTATGAATCAGACAAAACAGTGGGATTCAAAACCCCTCTGTACAGCATCTTTCCCCTCCTTTCCACCCCAACAGAGGGCTCCCAGGTGAGAGTATTTATTATGGACAGAGATCAAGAATCTCATTTTGCCATTTCCTACACCCTTGGGCAAATTATTGATTCTTTTTAGTTTCCCCCATAATTTATAAGGTGATAATCTCTTGTAGGTCTATAGAATTTTAGATATCACTAATGGCTTTAATACTTATTAGCTAATATGATCCTCTCAATTATGTAAGGGCAGGGAAGATATAATTATCTCTATTTTACAGACAAAAATCCCCCCAAGATTCCAAGAATTCAAGCCATTTGTCTGGGGTCACAAGGCTAGTAAACAGCAGAGAAGAAATAAAAATTCAGCTTTTTATTCCCTCTAAGCCTCTAAAATTTCCAGAGTCTCTTACATATTTAAATTGAACTCATTGACATTGAAATAGAGTAACTAATGGTAACCCTACCAAGGAAAGATTTTCTTAGAAGCGGAAGATAGCCGAAGGGGGTAAAGACAATAGTTGACCGGAAGAACTCAAGCCTGAGTTAACACTTCTTTCTTCATTCATTCATTTCACAGGTTTTTCCGAGTACCTGCTTTGTGCTGTGCACTCTTCTAGGTATTTGAATTTTAGGACCCATGGCACCCAAATCTTGAAATGTCTTTGTGTGGTAGGGAAGAAGATCTTGCAAGTTCTACAAAAGTTAACCACCCCACACGAGTATTCATATGTGGTCAGTGAGCACACCCTAGGGCATTTGCGGTTCCTAGAAAAAGCCATGCTTTTATTCATGCTGTTCCCCCTTGTGCAATGCCCTTCCCTCAACTGGCTGCCCATCTACCTCTGCACCCCTTTGAAGATTCGCCTTAAACATCACCCCTGGATGAGACCTTGCTTGAAACCTCACCAGTTCCCGTAGAGCTGACCACTGTCAATTCTTTGAACCCTGCGGACTCTCACATACTTGCAATCCTTCCTAACATTGATTTATGCGTCTGTCTTCCTCTACCAGACTCTGAGCATCTTGAAGGAAGAGATAATATTCATTCAGAAAATTTTGTAGAGCGTCAAAAAGTAGAAACAATTCAGAGACAACCGTCAGTAACATTTTCAAATATTTCATTATATACTTCAATATATTTTCTAAGTGTGAAATCATGTGGCTTTATTTCCTCTCTTCTAACGCGAAGATGGATTTTCCTCTACTTTGAATGCTTCTTGAACTGGGACACACTTTACGACTGATCTTGTATTAGGTTGTTATTATTATTACTGGTTGTTATTATATATTATTATTAATATTGTAGTACTTATTGACACACAAATTTGATATTAAACGGATGGGGTCTTAAGTTGCTACCATCTAGAGTTGAGCTGCTGCTGTGTGTGTGTGCATTTGTGTGTGTGTGCATATACTGTGCTTTCCAAAATATATATGTATTCATAGTAGTTTCTATACTATACCTA